TAAAACTGTGTAAAAAAAGTGTAAATCTGTAAATACTCATGTCCTGAATCAAAATATTAAAATAATAATCAAGTAAAATGCACCAATTGTGCAGTTGTAAAGATGGGAATGACAAAATACTACTAATACTACTACTACTAATAATAATGCAGTTACGGCTGTAAAACACGACTCAGATCCTCCTTCTTAATGGAATTTATCCTGAAGGAATCCCTGCGTCTTCCTTGAACTTTTCCGGTGGGTTTTGGTTTCCAGGATCCGAGATCAGTACGGAGTGTTCATGTCAGAGCCGTAAATTTCAGCCAGTGTCCTGAATCGGGGTCCCCAGTCGTTCAGAATGTCGTAATCGAGGTCGGATCCGCAGGAAGAAGACGATTGGAGAGAACTCAGCGAGCCGGCCAGGGACTCGGACCCCTCGTAGCCGTAAATGTGCAGCGTGTCGTACGGAGTTCCGTCCCGGTCGTGATCGGCCTCGTCCTTTTTCACCTCGATCATCACCGCCATGTCCCCTTTACAGGCTGAAGGCTTCTTCACGACGGCGTACATTCCCGGAGGACGTGGATCCGGACCGAGCCAGGCGTCCGAGCGAGCCGAGGTCAGGATGGAGACGTCGTATATGTTCGTGTCCATTTCTCCTCCACCTTCTTCATCATACGCCATGAGCTGCTCGTGAATCTCACCGGACGCTTTTCCCAGAGCGATGACTGACTTCTTCTGGTAGTGTTTACGCAGCACGAAGAGAATAACGATCACTAACACACAGAAAAGAAGAAGAACATCATACAGATCTCGAAATATCCGTTTCCTCCTACGAGCATCATGTGTGAACTCTTCCATAATATCAGCTGTGCTGTACAGTCCACTCAGACCCTGGCCCCGCCCTCCTGTTATATAGATAAATACTCCATGAGTATGTGCAGTGGTGCTTGAAAGTTTGTGAACCCATTTTAAATACAGTCAGGGAAAGAAGTATTTGCTCCCCTGCTGATTTTGTACGTTTGCCCACTGATAAAGAAATAATCAGTCTATAATTTTAATGGTAGGTTTATTTGAACAGTGAGAGACAGAAGAACAACAAGAAAATCCAGAAAAACGCATGTCAAAAATGTTATAAACTGACTTGCATTTTAATGAGGGAAATAAGTATTTGACCCCCTCTCAATCAGAAAGATTTCTGGCTCCCAGGTGTCTTTTATACAGGTAACGAGCTGAGATTAGGAGCACACTCTTAAAGGGACTGTTCCTAATCTCAGCTTGTTACCTGCATAAAAGACACCTGTCCACAGAAGCAATCAATCAATCAGATTCCAAACTCTCCACCATGGCCAAGACCAAAGAGCTCTCCAAGGATGTCAGGGACAAGACTGTAGACCTACACACGTCTGGAATGGGCTACAAGACCATCGCCAAGCAGCTTGGTGAGAAGGTGACAACAGTTGGTGCGATTATTCGCAAATGGAAGAAACACAAAAGAACTGTCGATCTCCCTCGGCCTGGGGCTCCATGCAAGATCTCACCTCGTGGAGACGCAATGATCATGAGAACAGTGAGGAATCAGCCCAGAACTACACGGGAGGATCTTGTCAATGATCTCAAGGCAGCTGGGACCATAGTCACCAAGAAAACTATTGGTAACACACTACATCGTGAAGGACTGAAATCCTGCAGCGCCCACAAGGTCCCCCTGCTCAAGAAAGCACATATACATGACCGTCTGAAGTTTACCAATGAACATCTGAATGATTCAGAGGACAACAGGGTGAAAGTGTTGTGGTCAGATGAGACCAAAATGGAGCTCTTTGGCATCAACTCAACTCGCCGTGTTTGGAGGAGGAGGAATGCTGCCTATGACCCCAAGAACACCATCAACACCATCAAACATGGAGGTGGAAACATTATACTTTGGGGGTGTTTTTCTGCTAAGGGGACAGGACAACTTCACCGCATCAAAGGGACGATGGACGGGGACATGTACCGTTAAATCTTGGGTGAGAACCTCCTTCCCTCAGCCAGGGCATTGAAAATGGGTCGTGGATGGGTATCCACAACAAACCCAAAAACACGCAACAACAAAAGGATGAAGCTAAAAAAAAAATTAAGGTCTCAGGCGCTAGCCAGTCTCCAGACCTTAATCCCATAGAAAATCTGTGGAGAGAGCTGAAGGTTCGAGTTTCCAAACATCAGCCTCGAAACCTTAATGACTTGGAGAAGATCTGCAAAGAGGAGTGGGACAAAATCCCTCCTGAGATGTGTGCAAACCTGGTGTCCAACTACAAGAAACGTCTGACCTCTGTGATCGCCAACAAGGTTTTTACCACCAAGTACTAAGTCATGTTTTGCAGAGGGGGTCAAATACTTATTTCCCTCATTAAAATGCAGATCAATTTATACCATTTTTGACATGCGTTTTTCTGGATGTTTTTGTTGTTCTTCTGTCTCTCACTGTTCAAATAAATCTACCATTAAAATTATAGACTGATCATTTCTTTATCAGTGGGCAAACGTACAAAATCAGCAGGGGGTCAAATACTTTTTCCCTTCACTGTATATCTGCAGAAATTTGACATAAAACATCATCAGATGTTCACACGAGTTCTAAAAGTAAATAAAGAGAACAAAATTAAACAAGTCTTGGTCGTAAGTCGTAAATACTTGGTTGTTTATTTATTGAGGAAAATGATCCAGTATTACATATCTGTGAGAGGTAAAAACGGTTAAAGAAGAATAAAGTGAATGTTTTGGAACGGCCGAGTCAAAGTCCTGACCTTAATCCAGTAGAAGTGTTCTGGAAGAACCTGAAGCCAGCAGTTCATGTGAGGAAACCCATCAACATCCCAGAGTTGAAGATGTTCTGTACTGAGGAACGGGATAAAACTCCTCCAAACCGATCAACACTTACCCCAAACCCTAACCCCAGTTATTACTGCACAAGGAGCTCACACCACATACTGAAAGTAAAGGTGCACATACTTTTACTCCTCACAGATACGTAATACCGGATCATTTCCCTCATGTCACAGTTCGCCCGGAGCAGTGGCGCGCAGCGAGTGCTACTGCGCATGCGCGGACTCCTTCCAGTAGCAGGGGCGACTATCGAACGCCACTGCGCATGCGTGGACGTCGTCAGCAGCGACGCCGTGCCCACGTCACGAAAGGTCGTAGGGTCATGTGTGGGCGTGTCTGGGAATCACGCACAGCTATGAGCCCATCGGAGTAATGACGGGACTGTTTATATACCGTGGGCCATGCTCTACACGGCGCGGTTCAATAGCGATATCTGTATCAAGGACTATGTCTATGTTCATGCTTATGCGAATGTCTCCGCTAAAGTTCATGCTCGGTTTGCTCGGTTTTGTTTATGCTCGGGTCCACGGACTACTACGTATGTACGTGTGTAGAGGTACACTGTATTCCTAGCTCTAGTCAGTGAGTTTAGTTTCGTTCTGATGTTCCTGTTTCGGTTTTGTTTGTTTGTTTGGTGCACACTGTAAATAAAACCTCACCGTTCTTCGCAGTGTTTACGTCCCGGTTTTAAAAAAAAAAAAAACTTCACACACACACACACACACACACACACACACACACACACACACATACACACTCATTATGCTACACTGAAAGGATGATGATGATGATGATGATTACCAAGGATGGTGATGATGCAGAGCAGGATGGCGATGAGAGCGCTCACACTGACGCTGGACTTGCTGTATTCCTTGCAGTACTCCTTTTGTCTCTCTCTCCCACACTTACACACCTGCAGGGGAAGAGGTGTGATGCTGTACAGTTCCGGATTTCCTCCGTCTGTAATCTTGATTTCCAGAACATTCTCCACAGATCTCTCAGTGCTGTAACTGCCTTGAGTCAGAATGATGCTGGCTGTATTATCTGTCACACACACACACACACACACACACACACACACACACACACACACACACACACACACACACAGACAAAAGATAAAGATCACAACACTATTATATTTTTAGAAATGTATTTATTGATGTTTTTATTGAATCACTTATTTATCCATTTCTCCATAATATAGAACCGCTACAAAATCATTTTTAAACAAAATTTGGTGAAATTGAACATTTTCTTCAGTATTTTCAGTTTATTTAAGATAAATGAACGAGACTCACTCAGATTGTCATTAAGGGAGAAGTTTGAACTCTTTCCCGTGAGACTGAAACGAAATTTCCCAGGATTCTCATCCTTATCAGTGGCACCAATAACACCGATAACCTGCAGGGAGGAGCCATTATTATTATTATTATTATTATTATTATTATTATTCTCTTCTTCTTCTTCTTATTATTATTATTATCATCATCATCATCATCACCATTAAAGCAACCTTGGATGTTAGAAAGGCGCTAGATAAACTTACATACGCACAATAAACAAAAAACAAACCAATAAACTATATAAATCAAATTTAAATATTAAAACGAAACAAAAGGAAACCTCTTCACTGTTTATTACAAATAAACAATGTCACAAAAATGTGGAATTTTTCTACAGAATCTCCATTTTTTTTATTTCAAGGCAAGTGTTCCAGCTCTTAACGAGTGTCTGCATTCTTCTAGAAAAAATTTGAATCATTCAATTCTACTTTATGTCGCACTTTTAAGCTTCACATGTGACTCGCCATCACAGAACACAGACAAGGATCAAATTTAACATACACTTAATATTAATGTACATTAGAATTAAATTATACATTCTGATTATGTGAGTTTATTAGTATAGTATAGTTCCTAGTAGAGTATATTTAATATACATATATTTCATCCACCGATCTTCTACAGCTGACTCCTTTTCAGGGTCGCGGGGAACCTGGAGCGTATCCCAGGAGGCATCAGGCACAAGGCGGGGTACACTTTAGACACGCCCATCAGACTACCATGCATGTGTTTGGACAGGGGGAGGAAACCGGAGTACCCGGAGGAAACCCCCGCAGCACGGGGAGAACATGCGAACTCCACACACACACACGGCCCCGGCGGGAATCGAACCCCCGACCCTGGAGGTGTGAGGCGAACATGCTAACCTCTAAGTCACCGTGCGCCCCATATATTTCATGAGGTATCACATTATATATTACATGATGTATTATAAATTCACCTGCTCATTTAGTCTTATATTAGTTAGTGTTGAAGTACACTGAAGAATACACACTGTGCTGTGTACTGATCCCTGAGGGTCGCCTTCCATAAACACGGGAGATGATAAATGAAGGAGTCAGAAGTAAGTGATTGTTATTTCAAATCTACATGTAAATGATTTCAGTTCTCACCGCTCCGCTCTGATCGTTCTCACAGATGTACACGTCGGTCCCGATGCCAAGTTCTGGCGCGTTGTCATTCACGTCCAGGACGATTAATTTCACCGCCGTGTAAGAGCTCAGTTCTGGAGAAACAAACAAAAGGATTTTTTTTATGTTCAATTAGTGAATTGGAAATATTTAGATAAAGAGACAGAGACAGTGAACCATGCTGTCTGTTGCTATAACACGAACATGATTAGCTCTATTTATTCTAAACAACGACTGCTATCCCTCACCCGAGCACACACACACACACACACTCACACACCCACTATATATATATATAATAGTTACTAAATGGATGACGCACTGTAGATAGATTCTTCGTCTGCTGTAACGAAGAACTTGTACTCATTCTGGGTTTCTCGGTCCAGTTCGTTCTTCAGAGTGAGCTGACCTGTCTCACTGTTAATGTTCACCGGACTGGTAGGATCCTTTATGCTGTACCTAAAACACAAAGAGCTTCAGATTAAACCCCTATCACGGAACGTTCTCTCCTTCCTTCTGACAGAACTAATGTTCTACAGGATTCAGCTCAGGGCTTTGTGATGAACACGCCCATACTTCCTTATTGTTGCTTATTTTGTCACAGCGTTGGAGGTTTGATTAGGATCATGGTCCTGCTGGGAAGACTCGTCTTAACTTTCTGCCTGATGTCTTGAGAAGTTGCTTCAGTATTTTTTGGAAAATCCTCCTTCCTACTTTCTGAAGTGGACCAGTTACATTTCCAGTCAAACTTCTCACACCATGATGCTGCCACCACCGCGCCACGTGGGGTCCAAACGTCTGAGACCTCACTGAAAATGTTATTTCACTGAAACTAAAGAAACTCATCTGTCTTGAATATTTAATATTGGAGATGCTGCACTATTCCTAGCTCCCTGTTTAAATATGGGCAAATGTGTGATATCGAGCCTGCTAACTGCTTTGTACAGAAGGTCAGATTGTCCTCATGTCTAATCTCTTCAATTGAAGCATCTGATCAGATGAAACATAGATGGATTTGATCTGAAATGGATCATAAGGACTGGGACCCTGTCCAGGGTGTAACCCCGCCTTGTGCCTGATGCTCCCTGGGATAGACTCCAGGTTCCCCGCGACCCTGAAAAGGATAAGATCTAGAAGATGGATGGATGGATGGACCATAAGGGTTGGACTCCATGCAGCACGAGTGCACGCGGTCATTAAAGCAAAAAGGGGAAGAATCGAATATTGAAAACTGCATTAAATTAGAAAAAAATGCAAAACAGAAACATTTCCGGCAGGACCCCGCTGTGTGTGTGTGTACGTGTGTGTGTACGTGTGTGTTTACATACTGCACAGTTTATTAGCTTTGACTGTTGCTTGTAATTTTTAATCGAACACTAAGATGTTTCTTATTCTTTATGAAGTATTACGATGATTTTATACCGTATCCTGTGGTTGGTTTTGTCTGTGTCCTTGGCCGAAACTGATCCCACGATGATCTTTTTCTGATTTTCGTAAACTTTAAAGGTGTATTCTGCCTGCGTGAAGACCGGCGGCTCGTCCACGTCTTTAACGGTGATGTGGATCTGTGCCGTCGTCTGGGCGCCCGTGTTGTCCGGAGGTCGGACAACATCCTCTGTAAGTGTTACGGTAAACTTATACCTCTCCTTCGTCTCATAGTCGAGATCCTGTTAGAGCAAACACACACGTAAAGTAACAAGTAGTAATGCGGCGGCGGGGCGTGATTTGAGACACACCCCGTGTCTGAGATATAGTAAATCAGTACATTAGCAGTTACAGTTTACGTTCAGATGAAGCCTGGCTCAGATTCACACCAAGAGAAAGATGTAATGCTTGTTAAAACTGACTTGTGCACTTTGCTGTAGTGTATAGTGGAGGTGATGAAGGGAACACTACCTGCTTCAATACGAGAACTCCATCGTTATTATCGTTTAGCTCCAGATCAAAGATGTCTCTATCAGCAGGATCTACAGTAAACTTGGGTTTTTTATTCTGTTTCTCATCACGGTCTGTAATGTCCAGTATTCCGATTTCGAAACCCACTGGCGCGTCCTCGTTCACATTAAAGTGGTAGTGTTCTGTGGGGAGAAAAATACACAATAGAAATGCAGCTGACTGATTTGAGACACGCCCTGAGACACGCCCTGAGACACGCCCTGAGACACGCCCTGAGACACGCCCTGAGTGAAAACATTCAAGCTGTAAATGATTTTGTCCTGCAGAGTGGACACAACGTAATGTGTAAAAATGTGCAGAGAATCAGTGAAGCTGGATTGTAAGAAGGAAGCAGGAGAGATCTGTTATAGTTTACGTACGTTTAGAGAACGCCGCTTGATTGTCATTAGCGTCGATTATAGTGATGGTCACTACAGTGTTATCTGAATTTCCTCCTGGTACTCCGGGCATGTCCGTCGCCTTCACCAACAACTTATACTCACTCTGAGTCTCACGATCCAGTGTGTCAACCTTAGTGTAAATGTGACCTGGAGGACACACACACACACACACACACACACACACACACACACACAATGATACTACCTTTAAGTTATTCTTCTTTAACAGCGCCCTCCACAAATATTGGCACCCTTGGTAAATATGAGCAAAGAAGGCTGTGAAAATTTGTCTTTATTGTTTAACCTTTTGATCTTTTGTTCAAAAACTTCACAAGAATACTCTGCTCTCATGGAAAACACAACACCGGTTTATCAAAAAAAACCCCAACTTTGTTAAATATAGGTGTGCAACAATTATTGGCACCCTTTCAGTTAATACTTTGTGCTAGCTCCCTTTGCCATGATAACAGCTCTGAGTCTTCTGCTATAACGCCTGTTGAGGAGGAGTCATGATGCGAGCTCCAAAATCCAGCGGAGAGCTGGACCCGAAAGACAGAGCAAGCGATAGAGCAGCGCTCGTCTCCAGCTCCTCTACCAGATCCATAAGAGATCCCCGGACTTTAGATGGCTATCTGCCTCGGCAGCGGCCGGCCCAGATTCACGAGGCTCTGAAACCCAACTCGCTTCCGAGAAGATAACAAGCTGCCTGTAAGGCATTCACAATGCGCACAGTCCGACCTCCTGAGGGCTGCAGTGGCATGCTCCTTCCCTAGACACTTCACACAGAAAGTGTGCACTACTCCCCGGTGATGAAACGGGAGCAAGGCATAACACACTTCCTGAATTCTCTCACTCATACTTTTCTCCTTCAGCCTTGTTCCCCCAGACTTTTGCTCCCCGCAGCGTTCAGCTAGCGCAACGTCTCGTTTTCTGGGACATGTGTAGGCTGTTTTTGGCATTTTATTATAAAACTAATACCATATTAAAATAGATATGACATATAGGTATATCAAAGTACTAAATAATCTGTCAAATAAGGTTAAAGAATACATAATAGGATAAAAAAGTGCAGAAACATACTATTTATGTAGCAGTTTTGTAAGTTTGGTCTGTAATCCATTTTATTTTCTATATACACTGAGTTAATCTTAGCCTGCACTCAGTAATGGTACACTGACGTGGCCTCGTCTAATCCCCTAATGAAGATATAAGATATATTGAGAGTAACATTCTCACCGTTTTCACTGTCAATGCTGAAGACGTTGGTTCCGTTCAGCAGACTGTACACGACGATGCCGTTGATAGTGCTCGGGTCGTCTTTATCAGTCGCATGCACCGTCAACACCATAACTCCTAACATCAACATTATACATTTACATTATCATCATTTCACCATCAACATCTGTTTATATTCCACTACACCACAGCACCGCTGAGTTCTGCACTGTGATTGGTCAGGAGGTGTTGATTAGTTTTCTATGACAGCGGCTCTGACAGTAGCGCAGCGTCACATCGCAGCTTTATTTATAATCAATGCGCTCATTCTGTAGTAACAGCTCATTCGCGGAGTTTATTACGCATTAATAGCATTGTACTCCATGATGAAATGTTCAGCAGTTAGTACATTCTGATCCTCAGTACATTAGCGATGTAAGTTGTGAGTTCCGTACCTTTACTTGCTCGTTCAATAACAGACCCAGTGAAAGTCTCTGAGAACACGGGACTGTTATCATTAATGTCTTCGACCTTTATGATGAACTCCTCGTCGTTATCAAGCTTCGTTCCACTTCTAGTGTCTATGAGGTGTGCTGTTAGAGTATAGTTGCTGACTCGTTCCCGATCCAGCGTCTTCAACACGAGCACATGTCCGAGTTTGTTCACGCCGAAGGTGTCTCCTGCTCCTTCTCCCGAGAGCTTGAACTCCGCAGTATTTTTGAACAAAGTGTTCTTCAGCTAGAAGAAATAAAAACACCAACAGCAGAACTAAATTATTCACACAAATGTAATGTATGGGTTTTCAGATGGAACATTAAATCTTTATCTCCAGCTTGAAGTTTAATCAGTGAGGATGATCGTTGTTACCACGCCGATTGTCTCTGGTAGATATTTAGCTGGTTTTTCCTCGAATACATGAAACGTGTTCCACGTCCAGCCTCGTTTCTCTCTGTGCAGGACGGAGGACGGTGAAACGTCTTCAACATGTTCAGCTGCGGTGAAAAGAAAGTGCAGAAACGCTGTCCAGAGAAAGGTCCTGACCGCAGCGCGCAGCATCCTCATCTGACCAAGAAGAAGAACGCAGAGACATACGCTAACTCTTATTCACTCGGAAAAAAAGATTGAATGCCTTTAATGCTTTTAATCAGCCGAGACGTGTGCTACGAGACGAATGTAACCGTTATGGAATAATTCCAGAGAAA